ATATATATATATAGAGATATATATATATATAGAGATATATATATATATATAAGTATATATTATATATATACTTATATATAAACCTATAACAAAATACGACTTCAAACACGACTACAAATTCAATAGATATACTGCCTTATTATTTATATAAAAAATACTAATTAGGAGTGTTTTATCAGGTTTAAAGCCACTGTACGTGACATATTATGGTTGACATGATTTGCCAATAAGCTTATGAATTATTAATGATTGTTTGAAATATATATTTGTTTGCATGAAAAGCATAAGCAATATAACTGATGCCTATTTGAACTTGTCACATCCTAAAATATACGCATGAATTTTGGTTGTTGTTACATCTAAAATATATATAGTTTTCTTTTGCCAGAAGCGATTAATATCATGTTACTAGGGCATAAACGTCGAGACACATGGGATTTAATACAATTATGTAAATGTCACGCTCAAGCATTTGTATAGATAGGTATTTTGTATATAAGATGACGTCATTTGCTTTTAGTTTAGGCCAATTAAAAATAATTTTCAGTTTTTCATCAGATTTTTTGAAAAACGGGGGGTGGGCGGGCGGATTTCAATTTTTTTTATTATTTATTTTTTAATAGCGTAAGTAGTATATTTCCCCTTTTATTAAAAAACGGATTAAAAGGTTGGCTTCCATTTCACACATTTTGTCTATGCAAGAAATAGTCACAGTCAAGAGTCATTTTAACTTCTACGCCTAAATACGAGACCATGTTGTACTCTGATAGCACAGAACTGATGCGTAATGAAACATTTATTAAAGAAATAAAAACATTTAATAATATGAACCATAAAGTATATGACTAATAATTTACTGAACATAATTTTATAGCCTTTGTCACTTGTAGCCAAATTTCAAGTTTTTTTAAACTTTCTTTCTTGATGATCGCTTCTCTGGTTTGCGAGTTTTCTTGCACTCTTCACATAGTGGATAGCTTTCGGGATTGGTATTAAGATCGTCTTCAACGCCACAAAAGAAGCAAATGTCTTCAAAACCTGCTGCATAGCACGGCTTTTCTGTTGGTTGACTGCAATCCACGTTTACTGCGATGAAAAATATGTTGCTGTCACGTGACCAATTTTGCATTTTTTCGGACAACTTTCGCACTCCGCTATTCAAAGTATATACACGTGCGCGATATAAACAAGCGAAAATATCGCAAAATAAGGGCGATTTGAAAGTTTTTTTTTGTATTTGTGGGTATATTTAACTCCTGTAAGTGTAATATACCGAAGAGAAAAATGTCTAGTTGTATGGATAAGGAGAATAAGCGTGTTTCGGACATGACTGTTGCTGAACTAAAGGAGTATTTGAAAATGCGTGGCGTTACTGCAAGCGGCTATTTAAAACCTGCTTTACTTCAAATTGCTCAAGCAGTGGAGAAAATGATGTTGTCGATTGACCCAAATCATGAATATGGAAATTCGGATCTCAAGAACGCAAGAGAAACATTTATTATTCATGATATGGTGATACGTCAGCCATTGTCATATCCAGTCGTGAACGACTTTATAGATTCGCCACCCTTCGGTTTGTACGATATTTTTAACTATTTAATATACAGCTCAGCTGAGTATGATAAACAGGGACTTGCCGCATATAAATCATTCGAAGATTATAGATTGTTTGACGAAGGCTATGTGGAGTCATTGAGAACCGCAACACTAAAGGAAGAGGGTATGTATCTGTTTATTGGAAAAGTACGGCCGGCTATGAAAGATACGACAGACGATGGAAAAAAACTGTACGATGTCTGGTTTATGTTAGAAGGAAAAGGCAACAATCGAGGTAGCGTATTAATGGCTAGATGTACATGTAAAGGAGGGCAAGATGGAGGCTGCAAGCACATCGCAGCCTGTTTGTATTCGCTGGAGGATGTACTGCATAATCGCGAGAGTGTAACATCTGGTCCATGCCAGTGGGTTAAACGAGCGACATCAGAAACCAAACCGTGCGAAATTAAAAATTTGCAAATACGGAGATCCGACAAAAGACCGAGTCCGAGTGAAGTGAAACGAAAATACGAACATTTTTATGCTGATAATATTGATGTTGACGTCAGGCACGAAAACGATAGAAGTCCCCCCTCCAAAAAGGCTCTTATTACGTTTACAAATGCTCTTTCGTCCGTCAGCAGTAAACCCTGTGTCTTTCCACTACTTGAAAAAAATTATCAATCGGAATCCTCACAAGAAACCACACAAGAGTTCAAACCTACCCAGTTAATAAAAGATGGAGGTATATTATTAATTTTTTATTTAAAGTGAAATAAGTGTGCAATGTGCAAATTTTGTTTAAAAGTGTGTCACTGGGCCATGTGTAGTGGTAAATCCTGTGAACTGCTAATAGTGTACACTGTATTATTATCATTTAAAATTGTCTGTCATATAATGTTATGTTTAAGGTGCATTGTAGTAATGTTGGTTGATGTATCATTATGATAATCATATGAATATAATGCACCCTGACAAACCCTGCTCTTTTTTGATCAGACATTTTTAAGTGTAAAAGCTAGCCAGTTGCAAATGGCAAGGGGTAGGGGGGGGGAGTATAGATGAACAAACAAAATTTGTCATGAAAAATATGTCAAAAAATTGATTAATCTGTCACATGAAAAGACCCCTATTGAAAAAATTATAATATCTACTTTTTAGTTGCTAAAAGCACAAACACAACATCGTCTGATCATGGAATTCTGAAAGAAAAGCTTCTTGAATATCACAGAGAGCATAGCTTACACAAAATTTCTGCTGAGCATCTTCTTGCTAATATCTCATTCAACGATGAAGAAATAGAAAATGTTAGCACGTGCACAGTTCAACAATGGAAAAGCAAAGAATGGTATCTCCACAAAGGTGGCATTATTACTGCTTCAAAAGCAAAGAGAGTTTTTAATGCACAGCTTAAGTTGGAAAAGGGTTTAAAATGTAATGTTTTAAATCTTGTGAAAGATATCACCTCTCCAAAATGCACATTTAGACCTTCCCCAAAGGATTCATGTATCCCCCAGAATCCAAGAGAATGGGGTTTAGTTCATGAAGATTCAGCGAGAGATTCTTATTACAGGGTGGAGAGTAAGAAGCACTATAAGCTCAGTCTTCTTTCTAAAGGACTTCAGATTTGCAAGGACAAGCCGATGATAGGTGCAAGTGTGGACAATATACGTACGTGCAAGTGCAATGTTGATTGTCAAGACATTGTTGTAGAATACAAATGTCCTTGGAAACATAGAGATCAACCTCCCAAAGAAGCTTTCTTAACCCCAGAGATTGGTGGGACTGTCATTAAAAGAGATTATGTACTAAAAAAGACTGCACCCTACTACTACCAAGTACAGGTTCAAATGTTTGTCACTGGGCTCAGCTTTTGTGATTTTGTAGTGTGGACAAAAAAAGGGATTTTTGTGGCATCAATATTATTTGATAAAGAATTCATGACTTCTTTGTGCAAGAAGGTTGAAAGCTTTTGGTATGGACAAGTGTTTCCTGCTATGGTGGATGAGTTGACAAATAACGATTCTGCACCCAATAAAACTGCTGGTAAGCGCTTTTGTTTTTTATCACTCTTCTCAAAAAAACTACAATCATTAACTTTGTTGTTGAAACAGTTCTCTAAAAAGGAATACGGACCCCTCCCCTCCCATGTCAATGTTGCGGTATTTAAATACTCGAGATACACATGGTTGCGAAGGCTGGTACATTACAGAGCTTTCGCAGGCTACAAACAACATTGAAACGGAGGGAAGGAGGCATATTTTGAAGTTTATTCGTCTTTACAGTCGCGTTTAGTCATAAGCATTGACATGATTGTAGATATATTTCTAAATTATTACTGCTTCACAGGCATGTCAGAAGTCAATCAACCCTCACAGATATAGTTAAATGTGTAATCAAATGCACCAACAGTGTTGTTCATTTTGTCTTTATTATATTTTAGTACATGTGGATATTTCCAAAGATGAGCCTGTCACATTGCCAAAAAGTGCAACCAAAGAATTACGGAGCGTAACTGTCATGAATGTTGACATTTATGAGACCTGCATAAGGAAATTGGAACCAAGGCAAATGATAAATGATAACATTATTAATATGCTGTTAAAGTAAGTGCTACTTTTGCAAAACAAGTAGGTCATACTAAGTGTAAATGCTACATGTGAGAATATTTTCCATTGCAGGGATTTCAAGGATTGCAAAATTCCATTTGTGAGCACATATTTTTATACTGCTCTATGTGGAGAACAAGGTTCCAATACATTGAGGTACACGTCTAGTTAATTCAAATTTATTATCTACTGTATATTACAATGAAAGACAACATTGGAAGCATTTAAGGTTTTTAGTGATTTTGATGCATTGTAAATATCATTAACTGGTGCTGTCTGCACCAATCCAAAATTGCAAAATAGGGTTGGGTCTGTTTCTTGAAGAATCAGGTAACAAGTTTTTGAAATCTGTTTTGATTATTCAAACTTTTACCATTATAGGCGGTGCTACGAGAATGCAGAAGTGTTCTTTAAACCAGAGTTATGGACAAATGATTTTTTATTCATACCAATAAACAGAAGGTAATATAAATTAAATAATGTATGTGTACCAACAATGATGCCCTTCCCTTTCCCTATTAGTTTTGCAACAAGGTACATATTGGTTAAATTGTATAATATTTTGTGTTTCAGTTACCACTGGCTATTGGCTGTCATCACTCCATGGTAAGAATCAAAAGTTTAAAACAAACATCTTAAACATTTCATGCCCAACGTTAAGTTAAAATTTAAGAAAAAATGATTTTTTGCAGGCATGTCCTCATAATGGCTTCTTTAACTTGGGATATTGGAAGTAGAAGAAAGGAGTTTAGTCTCCTTTTCAGGTAAGATGCATTTGTATTATGATTTAGACATTTGTATCAAAATCAGCAGACCTGCCAAGTCTCACGATTTTTGATGCTTTCTCACGATTAAGTCCCCAAATCTCACAACTTTCGGGCAAAATCTCTGCTAAAACCACAAGTGATTCTAAACACCTGTGGAAAAAATAAATACATGCTATTATTTCATGATACTTGACACTGGAAACTACTAAAGCCATAAAAAAACCAGCTTATTTTTAATAGGCCTTGCAATATGGTTATATTAATTTAACAAAATATAAATGCATACTATCCTAAGATTGAATACCTATTGATTATTTTCTAGTGTTGTTAAAGTGAACCGTGGTCATATTAATGAGCAAACCTAAACATTTTTCGCGATTTTTCGGTCAATCTCACAACTTTTTAGATAGCAACTCACTATTTCTGCTACTCAGGGGTTGGCAGGTCTGAAAATGTGTTTTGTTACAAAGTTATTTTACAAAGTTGTTTTTTTTTTATATAGATTCTTTGAGCATTTGTGCAAAAAATACGCTTTGCCAAGGAAACACTTAAAGCTTTCAAACACAGTTCTAAAAGTAACTATTTTTGCTGATGGTGATTTTATGCACTCAATACATTAATTCCAAAATCTTTTTAAAGCTACTGTAGTTCCAAGATGATTTTTTCTTAATATCAGGTACCCCAACAAGAGGTCTCAAGCAATAACTGTGGTTTTCATCTCGTCCTGTTTGTTGAAAATTTTCTGAAGGTATGGCGCTAGAAATTAGAATAGAACTCTCTGACATTTTTGTATGAGGTTGGTTTTTATTATACTGTATGTACCACTGGTAAATTGTTTTATTTTCTTTATTAGGATTTGGAATTTTACAGTGCAAAAAGAGAGCTGTACTGCAATCAAGTGCACAAATGGTTTGATGTTGAGAAGGCTGAAGAAAAAAGAACACAAACAAGAGAGTTTTTGAATGATTTAATGAATAAGAAATATTCGAATTAACTTGAAAGACTCCATTCATCGATACTGACCCTGTCAATGAAAAGAATTCAAAGTTCTGTCATTGTCATCACTCTCTTGTGAGTAGTCATTGCCACCTTGGTCATAATTTTCACTGTCCCATTCTTCGCTATCAGAATCACTATCATGATCAATAATGGTTGGACTCAAGTTGACAAGACAAGCACACACTCGGATGATAGAGCTTGCATATGGTTTTAAAGTGAGTGGTATGACCCCACGAATTAGTTGAAAGCATTTCAACTTCCTAATCATTCGCTCAACATGGACACGTGATTTAGCTATTCGTCTTGTCATAGTTGTTGCCTTTGCCGAGACCTTGCCCTTGCTCATAATCGGTGGAGCAAGCAGACGGACATATTTTAATGCAAAAATATCTTGCACATTAAAACCTTTATCAGCCATAATGACGTCACCAGGATTTAACTGTTCTATAAAACCACATTCTTTTGTAAGCTGCTTATCACTAATGCTTCCACTGTACAGATTTGATACAAAGTTAATATGAGGGACAGGTGATATTGATATAAACAGCTTGAATGTATTCCTAGATTTATAGGTACTGTATGTCGACCTTTGGCTCGAGATCCGGGTAGGCTTTTCAATATAAAATTCGGTACAATCAATTATTCCTCTCAAGTTTGCAAATCCCCTCAAAGATGCTGGAATTTGAATGTCATTTATTTCAGCCACTGTTGGAAATGATAACAAAAAAGACAACTCCTTTGCTAAAAATAGTATCCAAGTTATGAAAATTCGGCTGGCTGTTCCAGGGGCAATATCAAACAAGTCTCCTAACATAATCATGCTTGGATTTCTTCTTAGCCTCACCAAAGTCAAGAGAAGTTGTTCCCAGGTGGTTAGTTTTCTTAAGTTGTACTTGTTCTAAAAATAAAAAAAATGCAGCTTAGAACTGAATATTGTGATGGACAGAATCCTTAAATAGTATTGCTAGTTGGCAAATAAACCAAGTTAGTGTGCATCTTAGTAATTTTTCATACACTAACTTGCAATAAACCTTAAAAACAACTTTTCATGAATAAGAATTTTAGAAATATGCTATCAAAGTAACTTTCATGAAATGCCAATGACCTTCAAATGTCCAGGTTGAGCATTTTTAAGTCTTGTCCATTTTACTCCTTTCCACATATATAATTTGTTTGCTTTCTCCTTGATAAGATCATACAAAGCTTTCAATACTTCAAGGTTTAACCCTACGTAACAAAAAAGTAAACAGTCGTGAGTGTCAAAATGTGAAAGGGTTTTTCATTTACCGTGCTCTCTCTCTATTTACCCCCCTCCCCTCAAATGTTTCCAACTTCCCTAGTTTCATTTGTAGAGGGGTATGTGTGGTTGCACGTACCTGTATAATGGACACATTTTTTTGGGTCAGTTATTTTCTGAATAAATGATGTCTTCATGATAACACTGCCACCTTTAAATCCATCACTTGGCAAAGCAGGTTGGTTGTTGAAAAAGTGCCTATTGGTATTGTCTTCAGATTCACTTTGGAACTATCAAAATCAAATAAATTACACCTGTGAACTATGATTGCATATAGAGTTACATGATAGTGATACACATGGGCTGCACAATAATAAGGCACATTAGCTCAAAAGATTGCAAGAAAAGGCAATAACCATTGTTTACTGGTTGAAGCCATTACATACCGGCAAACATAGATATATATCTTATTACCATTCACAGTTTTAAATCTACAGCTGCACTAGATAACATTTGGGTTCAAGGGAACTGACAATTTTTGGACCATGTATGTATAATACTTACCATGTCCGCTTTTCCCACGTCAGTTTTAACAATCTTTTCATCTGAAGAGCTTTCGCTTGAAACAACTTCAATTTTATGTGAGCCTGGACGCTGATTTATAGCTGTAGCAAAGCTGTGTGAGTCAGGACCATTAATATTGTTCTCAACGTCGTTTTGTGCCAGGCTTTCCGGCTGCGCATGGGGAAAGCTTTCACTAGGTGAATGTAAACCTTCTGTTGTGGACATTTCAAACATTTTTTTAAAACGTTTGCCCACTTTGCCGTGAGTATGTCGAGGTTTTGGTGGCTTCCTTTTTCGTCGTAAACGTTCGATCTGTATAAAATATAAAACAAAAGTCAAAACATATTATTGAATACCCCATGTGCAGGTCATTAGTAGAAAAGCAAATATATTGATTATAAAATATAACTTACTTTATTCCCATCAGCTGTAGCTGGTATCGGATCAGGATAATCAGCTGTGGGTCCATTTTCGCCAATAAAATGAAAACCGCATATATAGCTGTCCTTCCGACAGACGAATTTGTCGCCTCGACAACATGCATTGATCCAAATTTGCCTTCTTTCCTTAGATCTCTTCTCACTTGGGAAACTGTAGAACGATACTGAAGTCCCATTGTCCTTTTCTAAGCGTGCTGGATACCTCGAATCGCTTTTGCATGTTCCCCAAGCACATCTCTTCACCATAATTTGTGAATCGCTTTATAGTATGATCGAGGATTCGAGGCCGTCGAGCGAAATATATCCCTATATTTTCGTACCCACACAACGGGAATTTTTCTCTTCGCTACATATTACACTTACAGGAGTTAAATATACCCACAAATACAAAAAAAAAACTTTCAAATCGCCCTTATTTTGCGATATTTTCGCTTGTTTATATCGCGCACGTGTACATACTTTGAATAGCGGAGTGCGAAAGTTGTCCGAAAAAATGCAAAATTGGTCACGTGACAGCAACATATTTTTCATCGCAGTAAACGTGGATCGAGACTGGCTTTCACAAACACTGAATCAAAAACCCCTCTCATTTCTTCATCCTCCAAATCCGAGAACACACTGCCACATGTGTAGGACAAATCCTCCAACGCACTTTCAACTTTACCATGCAGTTTACGCGAAATCTTTTTCTTGGAATACAGGCATCTCCATTTGTCACAATCTTGACATTGAACCACAATTCCGACATTCTTGGCACACTGAGCACTTGGTGAAAAGGGCATTCCATGATTGCTTTGGTTTCTCTGAACTAACGACGGACGGTGCTTTTCCGAGGTTTTCTGGCCGTACACATCATCAAATGGCTTGTAGTGGTCGGGTCGACTTGGTTCTGGATCTGGTAAGTGGTGTATCTCGTTGAACAATTCAGCTGGTAGTCTGGGTGCCTTGCAAAAATGGTGCAGCTATCTTTACCACATTTTTTTATGCTGAACATATGTCGTATTCTGCAATGGGTTTCAAGAAACTTATTAAACAACTGCTTCTTCTCTATTGACTTCTTTGTTGTACATTGTCGGGTCATGGTTGGGTCTATCTTCAAAATATTTGCCCACAGGTTTTCCATGTCATCGCTCTTTGACGCCTGGAATATAGAAAACTGATCTTCTTTAAGTTTTAAATTCATAATCAGTCCTTCGAGCATGGACATTGGAGCCTGCAGCAAGTCTTGAATCGATTCTTTGACGGATACATTATCTTCAGCAAGTTTTCGTATCTCTGTGGTATTGCCACACTTCTTGAGTAGCTCTTCCTTGTCAGTCGAGGTTCTCATAAGTCCAACAGATTGCAAAGCACAATTAAGTATAGACATGATACGCTCTGCTGGGTTTTTCCAGCTATGATAAGGTGGTGTACGTACTGCACAAAGAAAGTCAAGGTCCTTGTCAAGAAAGTATGCAATCAAGGGAATCTGCACTGAAAGGTATGTTGTGCGATGGTCTGGCCCACCATCGGTGTACATCAAAAGCATTGGTTTGATTGTGTCTGAATGTTCCATGATCTGCCTTAATTCGGTCATATGGCGCAGCCCAGACGACGACTCAAAGCAACTATCTTTTAGTCCAACATGTACCTTACCTCTGTAAAACGAGCCTTGGATATCTTCCGGGATAGCAATGTCAAGATGTACACTTGGTATAAGTTTAAATTTTGTAAAGTCATGGTCTCCAACTTGGAATTTTGTGTTCATGTCGACCAACACTTGTTTCACACGTTCCTCTGAAGCAACAGGAAATCCGGGTTCTCCTACTTTAATCGTGTGCTTATCATCACAACTGATATAGGAACAGTATTCTCGGAATTTGACGGCGAATTCTTTCTGGTACCTAAATAAAGATGAAGCATAGTGCACATCTACATGTGATTTCCTGAATTGACGCGCTTGAACCATGAATTTAATGCGAAGAGTTCCTTTTTGCCTGGTGGCACTGAGGGAATTGCAACGACGTGGCCAAAACTGCAAACGTAACCATTGTATTGAAGGTGTTGGTATACCATCGCCACAGTCCTTTACTACCGAGTCATACAAATGCCTGGTATTCATCGCGGTGGCAAGATGCGTAACAACATCACCATCACTTGTAGTTGGGTCGTGGCGTCTATCATCAACAGCTGTCTCCACCTGTCTTTCAATGTACTGTTGACACTTTTCAAGAAAAACTATGTACTCCTGCGGTCGTCCTGCATTATTAACACGAAGGTCACATATTAAATCTGGGTCCTCTAGTTCCAACATCTCGGCAACACGTGCGTCAACTTCCGCTTCAGTTAAGCTTGAAGCTGCTGATCTGTCTCCTGTTAATCTTCTGTATGCCTCTCTGAGAAGGGCAGGCTTACTGTTGGTAACTTGAGCAAAGCTATGTACGAATTCTCGCCTCATTGCTCTTGTGTGGTAATGCGGAAGGTTCTTCTTTATTTCAGCAATGTTTTTGTTATTCCTTTCAAGGTATTCTGGTGCTTCATCACCCTCTAAGGGTACCTTCCAAATAAAAGAGAGATGTTCTCTGGCACCAGTGTATGTGAACAATACACATTTCACAGGCACTTGTAATTCTTTCAAAAATGAGTATTTTTTTGTTGGTTCCACTGGTGAATAATCATTAGCACAAATAACTTCATATTTATCAGCATGCGCAATTGCTGTGTGCAATTGTTTATATCTTGCTTGAAATGTAGGCTTAATGACTGCCGTACTTCATAGCAACTGCACTCTATCAGTTTTGTCAGCTCCCTTCAGAATCTTGTTATGATGAATTGCCATGTTCACGCTGCTCTTCTTTAAAAAATCTGCATATTTGCGGAGGTTTGTTGCTAGTCGAAGAATGGCATTGTAGAAACATTTCCATGCATCGCTTTTCATAAATGAATTTGTAGCAAGCTCGAATAAAGTCCCAGAATATGCAAGGAGTTCTGCTTGTTTAAGATTTTCTGCTGCAATCCTCTTTCTCTTTCTCTTTCTCTTTTCGGGTGTATTGTACCCTTGAAAATGAGCAAAAGAATCAGGTACGGCACATGAACGGGAACTAAGAGTTACATGGTTGCCATCGATGTACCACATCACGTCAGCAAGTGTGTTCAAAAACTTGTTTCCTAATTAAACAAGAGCAGAGAATTATATGTCAACCACACATTAAGTTATTTTTAATATTTACTGTTAATATACATACATTTATTAATATCACACGATTTTATTACTTCATACACCGTCTTTAGTTATTAAAATACACTGTATATGTTTTAACTGATAACGTATAAATAAAAGCTTTACAACATAAATAATAACATTATTTAATACCTAGTGTTTCGACATATTGAAGAGACCACCCAACACCATTTTTCTTCAACCAGGAAATTATATCATTTTTTAACTTATCCTTCTGGTTGTGAACGACTACATTGCTTGGAACACAAGTTAATGTACGGGCAGCAGCAGTAAGAATGTGGAAGGCATTGGTACACTGAAGAGGCTCGGTACGATTTATATTTGCATCATGTGTAAACTCAATGAAGTTGCCAAGAGTTCCAACCACCTATTTTTTAATAATCAATAAAAATACAGATTCTTTATATGTTATAAACCGTACACAGGTACACTCGTTATTAATATGATCACAGATCTAGAACTGCAGAAACAAAATATTTAAAATATACAACACAATGAATCTACCTCTGCCACTGTGCACTGGCTGTCTACTCGGGTTAGGTCTTTCTTGCTCTTTCCAACATGGACATGAACATTGTTTAGTTGAACTGCAGAATTATCATCAATTGGCTCACCTATTCAAAAACCATATAAAAAATCATATGTTTTTTTATATTATTAATTATTAAAATATTAAAATTGTTAGAAATGCTGTTATTAAAACTTTATATTTTATAACAACATAGATCGCCGTCGATGTGCTGTTGCTTTGAAATTGGCAATATATAAATAGTGCCGGAATATATTGGACCTCACTATTTTGGCGCCAAATATCGAAATAAAATTTGCATATTTTTATACATATTAAAATAATAATATTAACATATTTAAATCATTAAACATTTACATACAAACCTTGATCAAGGATCCCTGCAACCAGATCATTATAAACATCATTTAAAGAAGAATTGTCTGGAACTCGTACGCCTATCCAGGGCTTCAAAACTTGTGTTCCAGCTCGTATTTGAACGACAACGAAAGGCATGTTGAAACAATATGGCCGCCAATGTTCGGTTTCCGACTACTTCCGACCAATTCCGATTTAATAATAATAAAAAAATTATTCCGGGCGGCCAATTTTTCAGGGGCGGGTGGCGATGAAAAACTGAAAATTATTTTTAATTGGCCTTATGAGTCTCAAACTTGCTTCTAAAACTCGTAATTTAACCAGAATTTTTTTATATGACGGTTAACCAAGTATAATCTTTGAACTAAGTATCTTTAAACTAATTATGTATCATTTCCTTCTTCAAAAGGGCCTCGGGTTTACAAAAACTAATCATACCTCCGACCTGGGTAATTGGATCCAACTTTCAGGTCACCCTTGAAAATGGTGTTGCTATGCGGCTAAACAAGGATGAATCACCTTATCATAGCCTTGGAGGGAGTGATATTGTTTTAACCTATTTTGATACAGAAGGTATTATATTAAATTTTTAAAATTTTAATTGACAAAATTGGTAAAAAATACACAATTAACAATGAACAACGTGGTAATTTTTATTGTTTATCCAGGTTTCGACTATATATTTAATGCACCATTCTTCTAGCTACATCTTTTTTTGAAGCTACCGTTGTTGTGTATATTTTGTTAAAATACTTAATTAATAGTGCGTGAAAACGGAGAAGTTTGTTTCGCGCACGAGTGTTTGGCAAAATAAATTATTTCTTGTCGTCTCATTATATGATGTAATTATCACTCATTTACTGAGAGCGAGCGAAACAGTGTATTTTGTGTTTTGTTATATAGTATACACCAGGTATAAGTGTCAAAGTATGAATAATTCACCTGTTATTGGAGTGAAACCAAAATGAAATAAATGGAGCGCCGTAAATGTTTAATAAAAAAGTTACTATATAACTTTAATACAGTTATGTTATACAGTAACTATACAGGGTGTATCAAAATAAACGCAATTCATCTTTTGTGCATAATAACTTTCGAAATACTATTTCTAAATAAACGCTTTTAGGCTTACTTCAAAGCCTGTTCTTTTCTCTTTCAAACAAACTATTATCTTTGTCTCCAATGCTAGTAATAATTGCACAGGAAAAGATTTAGTAAAACCTATCATTTTTAGTTCCTGTTTAATTATGCAAGTTTACTATGTTATTGTTTAGTCGGTTTAAATGTTAGAATTTTCTTCTTTAAACTTTAATGTTGTCGTCACTACATCTGGAAAACCACGTAAGAACAAATTAAAAGTATTTTAAAAGAGACCAGGTTGTTTGAAAATCCTAAACGAATGCTAAAAATCATAGAATCAAAACATTCTGGTGTCTGAGCCAGTGTCATCGAATTGCGATGTAATGTAAACAGAAATTATAACAAGTTGATGTCAGTCAGCTTAGATGGTCCAAGCCAAAATTATATCGCATTTGAAGTTTCAAACTGAGTTAAAAATAGTGGAAGAAAAGCCGTAATTATACTTATTGTTATAATCCATTTAATAAAATGCAACATTTTTTTGTTTTAATGAAAAAATCAGTTATTTTCATGAGAACGATTTGTTATTCCATCTCGATTTTTTTAATCTCCAATCGCAATAACGTAAAGTATTATTACCCGCGAACCAATGAGTCAAATTTAAGAAACAACCCACTGTTAGAAAGCTGAATGGCTACGCTTTAAAATTAATGTAAACTTTAAAGTTTTCGTCTATTATTTGTTTAGCAATTTACATTTTAGTTGAGGATTGCGCTTTTTTTGATACACCCTGTATAACAATCAACCTTGTAACCTTGTTATATATTCAATGTCAGCGTATTTTTTAAGTAAATGTGATATTTAAAAATGAAAAATATAGATTGTGAAAATACAGATGTCATAATTATAGCCTGACAATTTTCATTTAATAGACAATTTGGATCAGGGTGCCAGCCGGCGGAGAATGGTAGAAATACAAAAAAAATGTTGGTGTAAATTTTCCCTCCAATTTACTTCTGCTTGGTGGTGGACTTGGACTGGCTGTGCATTATGAACAGTTGTCCACTATGTATGACGGAGTCCCATTGATCATGGTATATGGTCATCCAGTGTCAGGAAAGTCTAGTGCAGTGAAAGCAGTGATGGCTGTAATTGGACAAGATGAAAACAAAACTGGACGTAAAAATAGATACGTAATACAGCTATTTTAATTTAGTATTTTACCATTCTTTTTCAATTTGTACATTCTACCGTTTTAGATTGCTCACATGTGGGTGCCATGGCGACATTACCATTATACCAAATTCATTTCATACAATCCAGCAGTATAATAAATTTTTATGACTTGATATATGGATGAAAAATTAAAACTTTGATCCGTATAACCTTTTAGTCCAAACGGAAAAAGAAAGGAGGGAAGGACAGTTGTGCCACCCCAAGGACGGTTCCACTTTGCACAATGAATCCATCGATAATTGGAAGAGTGCTGGCAAATGATAAGGAAAGGATGTTGCGGTAAATAACACTGTCATTGCATGATTCGAAACTATACACAGTGAACTGGTTTTTGATATTAGTCCTCTGCAGGTATATTAATTTAGTAACATTTTGTATTTTTTGTCGTTTAGCATATTCTCTAGGTTTGTCTTTATACCGTATAAAAAATTACAAACCAAAGAAGGGTCTCTTAAGAAAAGCTTGGCCCTTCAAGCGGCCATGAAAGAAGTAATGGCACAAGTGATCCGTAGTGTCGGCGTCATACTGCAGCTCAGGGATGATTTCACTGGGCGTCAAGAAGATGAACTGTTCAATGAGGTAGTTCATTTCACAGAAGAACTAACAATAAATCTGCAGCCAATTATATGAACTTGTTTGATATATGAACTTGTTTGATATGTTCTCGGGGGTGATGTCTGTTAACTTATTTGGTGCTATGTATATTTCTATATAGATTGTTTACATGCGATGTCACAACTGAAAGGCCATGCACGTGCTTAATTAAATTACTTGTCAAATTTTCAAATCCTCGTTGTTTGAGAAGAAACTTTTCTTTTTTTATGAGATCATTGAGAAAACTGGAATGAAGAACGAACTGTGACCTGTTCTCAAATCGCACTTCACCGATGTTGTAATTCCGCACCACCGGATGTTTACACTTCAGCATATTCAGCAGGAAGAAAACGCAACATCCGATGTCCAGTTCAATGGGAATGGCAATAAAGACTTGATGATTGAAGTCATTGAGGAAGTGTTAACAAAAGTCACTGAAGATCCACAATCTGTAAGTAAGATTCCAGTCCACCATAAATGTAAACTGCATGCATGTAATCCGAACCGGACAACATAGTGTGAGTTATTTATTATTATATTAGCATTTTTGTGTTACTTCCAGGGAAAAAAATTCTTAAATCCCAAATATCTCTCGCGCAATTGTGATTGCGGTGAAGTTCTGGGCTTTCATGTAGCAAAGGCGTTGGAGTACATAGAGAAGAAAACGTTGGCAGATGAGTTGAAATGATTTGTAAGGCGCACCAATATAGGATGCACAGGACGAAAGATTAGGTGCTATGATATACAGTTATCGGGAGTGCACATAAAAAGAAAGGTTTTAAACAGGGATGTTGTGGCTGCTCTCGATGAAGGTAGTGGTTCCAAATGTCTTTTTATAATGATAGACAAGTACATGTTGCACGAGTAGTCAAACTTATTTGATATACAAACTCAAGCCGGAGGCAAGAGTTTGTATATCAGATAAAGTCGGATGCAATGTTTATCCGATTTACAAAAATTGATCAAATATTCATTTTTTTTTAATTTTCTTCATGTATTATTAATTATTTTAATTTTTTTCTTTAAAAATTCCAAACGTTCTTCCTATTCTTTTAACTTTAAAAAAATTGAAATTCCATTTTCATAGAGTATTGCCAATGTTGCAAAAGTGCGAAAACAGTACTGTAGCTATATAGTTTGGAAACTTTGAAAAATGGTTTTTTGACGCTACTGACAAATTATTCCAGGCAAAATAATTAAAGAGTCTTAAGACTAAGAGATTGTCAAATGTCTTCCACATTTTAGAAGTATGTCCTCTCCCCTATAATGGCTATATAGAATGATCTTGTATACTTTCAAACTAATTTTTAGTCAAAGGCGCATTCAATTTCGCCGAGAAAACACGTAAATCCATCACGCCAAAAGAGAACGATAAAGAAGAGTCCTTGGGTATGTTAGCAAGGTTATTAGTAATGTATGGTAATTGACATTTCCTTATTTACAGAAATTCATGTTCTTAATAGTACCAAATACTACCGGTGCATTAAAACAAAAGACAGCAAATGTCAATGATGTTGTTGAAGGTATTGTATTTGTGGCACATCTAAATTTGTTCACTTGAATCTTAGGAAATTGCCTGCATGCATGCATATAGCTAATGAGGACATGATGGTTTGCTAATACTAATATACATATTATAGTTATAAAACTAATTATCAAAAACAATTTAAGATGTCCCAATTCAATCTTAGGTGTAAAATGGTATTTAACTGGTATTTAACTGGTATACCATTAAAAACTTTGAAAAATGATTTTTTGACACTACTGACAAACTATTCCAGGAAAAATAATTAAAGAGTCCAAGAGATTCTCAAATGTCTTCTACATTTTAGAAGTATGTCCTCTCCCCTATAATGGTTATATAGAACGATCTCATATACTTTCAAACTAATTTTTAGTCAAAGGCGCATTCAATGTCGCTGAGAAAACACGTAAACCCATCACGCCAAGAGAGAACGATAAAGAAGAGTCTTTGGGTATGTTAGCAAGGTTATCAGTAATGTATGGTAATTGACATTTCCTTATTTACAGAAATTCATTTTCTTAATAGTACCAAATACTACCGGTGCATTAAAACAAAAGGCAGCAAACATCAACGATGTTGTTGAAGGTATTGTATTTGTGGCACATCTAAATTTGTTCAATTGGATCTTAGCAAACCATCATGTCCTCATTAGCTATATGCATGCATGCATGCATGCAATTGCATGCATGCATGCATATAGCTAATGAGGACATGATGGTTTGCTAATACTAATATACATATTAGTTATAAAATTAATTATCAAAAACATTTTAAGATGTCCCAATTCAATCTTAGATGTAAAGTGGTATTTAGCTGCATGGTATACCAGCACATGCACATGCAACATTAAAATATATAGTTGAACTTAATGTTGTTTTGTGCAACAGAAGATCGAGTAAGAGAAAACGGCAGCTGAGAACTGCAAAATGCCACCTCAAAAAGGAACGAGCAGCGAAGAAATACAAGTTGTTCAACAAGGGGGAAAAGGTATATATATATATATATATATATATATATATATATATATATATATATATATATATATATATATATATATATACATACATATATATATATATACATACATATATATATATATACATACATATATATATATATATATACATACATACATACATACATACATACATATATATATATACATACATATATATATATACATACATACATATATACATACATATATATATATACATATACATATACATATATACATATATACATATATACATATATACATATATACATATATACATATACATATATACATATATACATATATACATATATACATATATACATATATACATATATACATATACACATATATACATATACACATATACACATATACACATATACA